GAGCTGTCAGTCATGCTCCACATCTCTATCCGCAGGTGGCCATTTTATAAATCCATTCTAATCAAACCTGCTGTATCATCTGAATGAAGGACTGGTCTCTGAGTCGGTGTCTGTGAAGGCTGAGCTCCTCCGAGCTCTCTCTGCAGCTCTGCAGAGCAGTGCGCTGCAAGGCGAGTCTCCGCACAGTCTGAACATCTGCTCATTTCACGTGACTTTTTAAAAAATACTAACATCTGTTCTAAATAGGTTTCATTCTGTGCCTCTGCATCGTGTCAATTGCCAACTCCTCTCTTCTGAAAAAAGGGAGAGGAAATTTATTTAAGGCTATTGCATTGCATAAGGGCTGACATGGAAATAGTTTTTAAAAAGCTGAGCTTTTTTATGATACATGTCACGAATGGGTTACAGGCTGTATTTATTCTATGCTATGTTTATTTACTTGGTATTGAGTGAAACCCCGCAACTGTAAACGTTTAAAGAAACGCAGTTTATTGATCTTTGGGCCTAGACTGTGTTTATGAAGCATCACCCACCCAACACCCCACCCAAACTCTCTGTGAGGATGGGCTCTGCGCACAGACCTGCAGCCTACCTTCACGGCCTCCTTAAATTTCATAGACATCTGTGAATTCCATACGTGCCTCGAAAGCCAATTACACACCTTCAAACGGGCGCACACTTTGATTTGGACGGTGAGAAACACTTTCCCAGATCGCTGGGATCAATCACAGGCAGGATAACAGTATGAAAGATTTATTTAGTGATAAAAATCAGGAATACCTTTCAAATGTTCAAGACGTGCGTAAGCACACAGAAGGTTAGTTATTACGCTGCTCTGCGGTGCCGCACAATCCCACGGGATTATTGTCAATAAAACAATCCGAGCCATGGTAGAAGTGTTTGATTTTGTCCTCACGAACTTCAGGATGATTTTGAACTAATATTCTGAACACTGTCACCACTAGAAGACAGGTTAACATGGCCGCAGTGTTAACTTATTATGTTAAGTTACTCAGGTAAACAGAGAGTGAAACTGCATGAGGCTTTTTAATTTCAATTCAAATGGAATTTTATCTGGTGCCTGATTTTTTCCTTCGCCAGATTTTTGCAGCAGTAAATTATGTGTTAACACTTTCGCAAATAATTTGTTATATTATATGTCAGTGGTAAAACTGTAAAAATAGCTGCGGCGTTTTTACTGGAGCCAGTAAGTCCATCTGTTTCCCCAAGTGACTGTGGAAGCTTTTGTTATTAAATGTGACTTGAAGCAGTCTGTAGTGACATACCTGGTAGCTACTCCATGTCCTTCATAGGCCTAATTTACCTCGTCTACCAAGGTTCAGTGTTTTATTTTAACTCTGCTCACTCGTCAGTCATTAAAAAAAACTGTGACACATAATGAAAGTCCGAGACAAACACTTACATTGTCGTTTTCTTTAATGCAAAAAGTATGCAAACATTTACAAAAACAAAAAGGCAACAAAAAATAGGGATGTATTTGTATTTCAGACACAGGGTCTATTCCTCAATGTAACACGATTCACCAATAAATAAATAAATGTATTCTGAAAGTATTTTTCGCACAGGTTAGATCCACAAACATTTAATGTGAGCTACACCACCAGTTGACAGTCTCACACCAAAAAAAAAAAAGAAAAAGGGCAGAAAAAGGAAAAAGCTGAGACAACTGCTATAATGTACCTTGGCCTCCACAGAAATAAGTCCAAGCCTGGACATGCCATTTCAACATTCGTCGTCAACAACATGAAAACACTAAATGGGACTTATGGAGCTAACACACACGGCTGCGCGTCCACACCGGGCCTCTGGACAGTGATCCCCAGAGTTTCAGTCGTCTTTGGTTTAAATAGTGATCCCATGTATCCAGCACTGGACTCCAGAGTTGCCCCGTCAGAACGTGATAAGTAGATTCAGCAGTCACCTGTAGGTTAGACAAGGCAATACACAATAACACCGTGTCAGACTTTGGACTACTACTGTACGATGCATTAGACCACAGCACATCCATAATAAACACTTTCTAATATGTTATTCATCCGCGGGTTTAACGTGTGGACCATGACAAACCGATCGTACCATTGTGGCCATAACTTCTACACATGCTAGTGAGATGTTGACATGGACCAAGCGCCCTCCATCCTCCACACAGAGAAGGCGTAGCTCAGCCTCTCGTGAGCCACATAACTACAACTTGACATTTTGGAGTCCAGCTCGTCGCTCTGCAGCACCTGGCAGAGGAAGTCGATGTATCTGGCTGCAAGTTTTAGAGTCTGTATTTTGCTGAGTTTGTCGGAGGGCAAAGTGGGGATAATTTTCCGCAAAGCGGCGAACGCCTCGTTCAGAGACTGGGTCCTCTGTCGCTCTCGGACGTTGGCCATGACCCGCTGCGACTGGAGTTCCTCGAAAGACTGGGGGCTGCTGCTGTTGGACTTCTTCCCTCTTTTCCCAGGGGTCGGGCTATCTGAGTCCTCCCCGTTTTTCCTGCTCGGTCTCCTCTTTCTCCCACATCTCTTCGGCTGTCTGTCCAGCTCCCCCTCGCTGTTGCTCAGGCTGTCCACAGGAGAGACAGGGGAGCTGCCCGACTCTTCCCCCACATTTTCCTCAGACATCTCCACTTGGGTAGATGGCGGCCAGAAAGTGTCCAAAAATTATTTCCCTCTCATGAAGTCAATGAGTTAGTCCACCTGTAAGTCTGTCTGGCCTCGAAGACACCAAAGTATCCATAGATGAGTTCCTGGGAGGACCAGTCTTTTCTGATACTTGAGAAACTTAGGCAGTTCTTATAGGCTGCATGGCGTAAACTATTTGGGGAGGGACAGGATTGGCCAAGAAGATGAATTACGTGATGTGAGGGGTGGGAGGATCTAAGGAGCTATCAGAAAGACTCATAACACAAGGTAAGGTTTGAAAAAGGTAACACAGCAAATTCACAGCATGGCTCTGCTTTTACAAAAAGAACCAGATGAAGAATCTTTAGAACTCGGTTTTCAGTAAACAAAAACAAACTTACAAATTTACTTTTAATTAGGTTCCTATGAGCAAGGGGACAATCAAATTGCCTCTTGAATATACTAAAAACGACTTTGAAACGAAATCCAATTTAAAATTAAAATAAAAAAAAATGTTAAATATAATTTAAAATAACAGAACAAGCTTGCCTTCCCTGCAGGTTTGGGTGTAAACAGTGTGTCTTTTTTATCCTTTCATCCATTCATCCAAATAAAATGCGCTTGTCTCTTCAT